TGGAGAAGGCTGTTCAGCTCCAGGGAGATCTTGAAACAGCCTTCCAGTACCTAAACAAGGCTACAAGAGAGCTGGAGAGGGACTTTTTATAATGGCATGTGCTGATAGGACAAGAGGCAATGGCTTTAAACTGAAAGAGGGCAAGTTTAGAATAGATATTAGGAAGAAAATCAGGAGTGGTGAGGTACTGACACAGGTTGTCTGGAAAAGTTATGGATGCACCATCCCTGGAAAAGTTCAAGGCCAGTTTGGATGGGGCTTTGAGCAATCCAGTCTAGTGGAAGGTATCCCTGCCAAGTACACATGATCTTAAAGGTCCCTTCCAATCCAAACCATGGCATCAATGCTATGATTCTGTGCCTTTCTCTGCTGGAAACAATATCTGCATCAGAAGAATTTAAAGAGACTAATCTAGCCCCTCAGCTAAACAAAGTCCATTTTGCTTTCCCACCAGCTTCTGAGTACTCTATCCTACTAACAATAGCTCAGGAAAAGTGAGGGAGATGAGACCAACAAGATTCACAACTTATTTCCTAGTACAGTTGCAAAGGCTGACAAAAATAATCCAGAGGTACTACTGAAATGTCTGCTCCATGCCTCTAAAACCTAATTTACACCTAGAAGCATAGTCCCATTAAAGTGTTTATTCTGAATACTTCTAACATGTCCACTTAGCCCAAATGGAGGCAGAATGAGGTGTTTCACTGCCCATCAGAGCACCTAAGCCTGTCTTCCATATCTTGTATCAACTCACCTCAATTTGCCTTTCCTTGGCTTTGCACAGGGCACTGCTGCAGAATTCATAAGGCCTCAGTCAGCTTAGAAATAAATCTCTGTTGATGCCAGCACTCAGCTCTTGTGGCCTGTACCAAAGAGGTGTGGCAGAGATCAGGCTAGTATGAGAAGAAAGCAAAAGATGCGAGCAAGGAAGAGGAAGAACAGAAAAAAAAAAAAAATAACACATCATAGATATAAGATTATGTGTCCTTATCTACATATAGAAATAGCTAAATTTCAAAAATATCTTTTTGATAAGCTAACCAGAATGAAATATTTAACTCTGTATTGCTAACACAGTCAAAAATTATATCTTATAAAATGTAAGCAGGATTTGCTCTAAAAGCTGACACAGAAGGATTTGTTTGCACATGTTCAACGCTACTGACTTTACAAGTTGCATTTTTAAAGAACGACAAAAACTTTGCAAGTGAAAGACAGATACATGCTGCGCTTAAAGAAAACGGGTGTAGTGGCTCTTGTGTTTTATGTTCTGACATGCTTTGGAGATACACAAATGCTGACTTCTAGCAGTAGTTACAAGCCCAACTCACTGGTCAAAATCTTATAACAAATGCAAAAAAACAGGTCTTTAAAGTAGTTTGTATTGAATATTAGAGTTTTCATCTCATATGTGAGAGACAATACCTCTTACATTGCTGAATACACATGTAATGTGTATAAGTAGAAGAATACAAATTATCATATAGCATAGCAAAACATGTAACTGTGATTAAATGCTAGTTCAGCCTAGAACAACATTCAGAAGACTATCAAATAACATATACTAATATACTATATGAATATACACCAAAAAAAAAAACCAGAAGATAAAATGGACACCAAATACCTCTCACATTTCTTTAGTTTTCATTCTTCCATTCATTTCCTAGCCTTATACTTACTGACCATGAGATGAAAATAAATTATTTACATTTTAAAGTTACACCTGTTTATTTAGTAAGGAAGTAAATACTTGGTAATTCCAGAGCCATGCAAGTAAATGTATGGAAACAGTATGGAAAGTGTGTATTGAATGAAGATCACCTCCAAACTCTCTCAGTTCTCATCACATCTCATCCCATCCAGGCCAGCCGTTTTCTTATCTCATGCAGAAAAACAAACATGGCCTTACACAGTGTGTAAGAAATATACCCATTTATCACAACCTCCAGCTGAAGGCTTGTAACAGAAACAGAATTGGATTTTCCCTCCCAAGGAGTAAGAACAAATACTTCCCTTTCTATGATCTCTAAAAACCACATCTGAAGAAGGCTGTTTTCTTGCAGAATAGTTTGACATCCACAGAAATGCTTTACACACCTGAATTCTCTACTGCTGCATCAGCGAGTGTTGCCCTTCTGCAGAGGACACATATAACCAAGTTTTTGAAAGTAGTTCCCATTTGCTTCTGATGGCCAAAAACTTTTAGTGAAAGAAGTAATCCTGCTATGTGCCTGGCAACAAAAATCGTAACTTCATTGCATGTTTCATATGGGCAAAAATCAGGTTCTGAATGCAAATTGTTCAAAATAAATAGAACAGAGAAGATAGCAACTTTAGAATACTATTGACCCTATGGGTAATATACAACCTTATTGTATTTTTAACTAGTATCACCTGTGAACACAAATATAAGTGATACTGCAATTGAAGACAACATTTTCAGCAATCAGAATCAAGGTAATGTGGATAGACGACTAGGAAAAGTCAGACAGAGGCAATAGCCTTTAACTGACCAATTAAAATAGCTGGGAAAAGTGCACAAACCCATGCACATTTGTCTGCAGGAGGACATTTCACAGAAGGCTTATTTAGATTTTCCAACTAGTTTAATCTCCTGGAAAATACTAAATGTAATTTCAAACAGTGGCTACTTACATCCCTCATCCAACTCCTCTTGGACCTTGTTTTTCTTCTGCCTTCTAAAAAGAACCTGATCTCAATGTTGCAAACTTTTTGTGACATAGTATTTTCAGAAAAGCCATTCGAAATTTAACATGACAGAGAGGGTAAAGAAATGAGTTCACAGAAGAATTGATCCATAAAAGCCAAAAGGTTGCTTCATACAGGAAGTTATGGACACAAGGTCCCTGAAAGGTCCCTGAAAGGGCCCATGGATAATAATTAGTAAAGAATACGGGTCCCAGCAAATGGCAAACACACAGAAAATTCTGGCAAGAGACTTTGCTATTTTCTTATCCCGTTGCATTTTTGATCTGGTCTTTGCACAGAAGGAAACATTAAAAGTCATTTTCTGGGGTTACGGAATTGTCTCTGGATGGAGATGAGCAGTCAGTTCCCAAAGACTCTTTTTTTGGTCTCATGGAAGAAGAAACACTGTCCTCTGCTTCTGATGAAGAAGATGCTGCCCCTGGCCTCAGCAAGCCACAAAACCTCCAGGACAGGCTGCTGCTCCTCGGAGGCTCGCAGTCCTGCACGCTGCCACGCCGCTGGCGCCTCTGGATGTTGTGGAAGATGTGCACATTGAAGTAGGTCACCAAGAGCAGGGGCACAAAGAACTCCAGGGTGGAAGCACACAGGAGGAAGTACCAGTTGTTCAAGAACTCAGCGTAGCACTGATCCACCGCTACCACACTGTGTCCGGCCACGTGCTCCCAAAACAGGATGGCTGGGCAGTACAGGAGAAATGCTAAGACCCAGATGGCCACCATCTTGATGGCAGGGTTGGATGTTATTCCCTGCTGGGCTCTGTAAGATAACCTGTGAGAGGAAAAAACCCATAAAAAGTTCAGACTTGTCAAGACCCATTTTGGGACTAAGAGAAGCAGCTGGAGATGAACTCAAGAGGTGCTTGGTAATACAGAGATGTGGCTGCGCTGATCAGCTGAAGCTCACCCAAGCATATTTATTTCATGGATGCTGAGAGTGCATATGGTTGTCTTTCAAAAAGTTAATGTCACTGTACCAGGGTCCAGGTCCAGGGGATGAAACACGATCATCCATCAGTACCTAATAATTCGGTATGCCTTGTTTGAGATACCTATGGTCTGAAGTGCCAGAGGAATTAGCACTTTACAGCTGTTGGGAGCATGACTCCCACTCACTGGAAACTGCACTGCTTTTTACAGCATTTTACAAACAAATAACTGTATGCATCATGGTGGTCTACAGAGAAGGTGGCACATAGATTTAACCTATAAGAAAATTACTTGCTAGACAATTCATATGGATGAAGGAATAGATACCACACCTGCACTTCAGCCCTTAGCTGATTAAACTAAAAAATATCACCCATTTTCTTCCTTCTACATCCACACCAGGGCCAGTTTTTCCACTATGTGTTGCAGAACATATAGATACAATGTGGCTCACATCCTGCTTCATCCCTTTCACAGGACGAATGTGTAATTCTGCAGGCTTAGACATCCAATTGATAGCAAAAGTTTGAGTTAATGTCACTAGAAATATCATACAAATATCCATAGGTCTTAATTGCATTTGTATAGGTGCTCTGAATTTTGCAATTTGTAAATGCTGAGTCTTTGGCTTTCCAGCATAAGGCTTCTTACACACCAAAAATTTTGGTGTTTGGTTTCCAAGATTTTTTCCTTAAAGAAAATAATAAAGTAAAATAAGAAGGCAGTTATAGGAAGTTAAATTACCAAATAAGACTGAAATTCTACTGCATGAAGTTTTGTTGACAGTCTCACGCACACCAAGAGGTGGAACCTTTAGTTCTCTGTGGCATTCCCTGACACTTGAGCTAACAGTGTGGCTGGTGAGAAAAGCTGGCCTCCATCCCTAGCATGGACCAAGACATAAAGCTCACACCAAGTGTGTAGGTTTCTCTGCAGAAAGCAGAGACAGATTGTGTCTGAAGTTTGAGGTTCTGCTCCAGACACAAAGAGGAGTTTATTCCTGCATATCTACAGGCAATTATTGCAGTCTGCCTTTTGTTGCACTTTCTGCCTGTTTGCTTTTGCTCCTGGTCTTATCTAGAATCATTTTTGACCACATATCAGGTCTAGACACCTTCCCCAGGGTCCTTTATTTTACTGCCCTCCACTCTCTTTTACTTTCATTCCTGATTTTAGGTCCAAACCCCAATCCAGTTTACTCTGAATTTCCTCTTTCCCTGCCCCTTTATTATCAGTCTGCTGCCTTACCCCTTTTACCCCCTAGACTGCTTTTCCTCAGGCAGTAACAGGACCACAGCTTGCAGCAGAAATTGTGAGAAAAGTCCTGGTTGATTGGCTCTGCAGTGAAGCATGTTCAGTGTAGAATATTCACCCCATCTGGCTGCAAAATATCTAATAATCGCCACATGCCTGTATATTTTTGAGGGGTATTATCTTTATTAAATTCGGGCTTATACTCATCAACATGGCAAAGGCTGGTAAATATAACCATCCAAGGAAAAAGTATCAGAGAAGCTCTAAACAGGTTACTTGCAGCTTTAGTAACTGACAGGAAACAGTCATAGCTGATAAGAACGATGTTCAATACTGAAGCTGTGCAGAGGAGATAGTCCATAGCCAGCCAAAGATTCTTCTTCCCAAGTGCCATTTTCCTGTCAGGCTGTAAGGGATGTAGAGGGGCATGCAGAACACACCTGTGAAAGCAACCACAAAGACACCATCAAGTTCATAGGGATGGCAAACTCCTGGAAGCAGAGAGACAGACTGTTTTGGTATTTGGGTTAAAAAATCAACAAATCTATTAAGGTGAATATGTAATTTATATACATAAGTTCCTAAATTCTCATTAAATCTGATGGTGACTTTCTATGTCTTAGATCTGGGATTTATGTATTCTGATTGTTGAGAATGAGCTGAAAGCAATTCAGCAAAGAAAGATTTACTGACGAAGAAAATACAAGTCTAACCAACTTAGACTCTCTAAAGATCTAAAATTAGTGCTGCAGCATATATGCACTCTGGTTGCATTCTGATATTCTTTCATCTGTATTAGAATTTTCCCTCCAACACATGTGCAGATGTTGCCAGTTGAAGTTATTCCTGTAAGATTGGTTAGAATTTGTAAGATGAAGACAATACATTGAGCAGTCTGTGTGGTGTTCTACCAGAGACAGAGCAGACACAACAGAAGTATGAAACTCTCGTTTTTAAATCTCATGCTTCTTCACTACCTGAGAATAACTCTAGAACTATTTTGGTTGGTTAAATTTGTTTTTTGTCCAAAAGACCTTCCACTGAAGTACTTCACCAAGAAAATCATGCTTGTGTTTTATTTCTAAGTGAGCAACTTCTTCATTTTAACACTAACACTCCTTCAAAAGTATGGTGCAATAGCTGATTCTACATTCCTGAAAATGCTGATCTACCAGAGACAAATAGAAAATTATATGCCACTTCAAGATCCATTTAAAACTCTCCAGATTATTCGTTTCTTGACATGTCCTCCAAGGTCTTAGAAGTTACTAAACATATCAAAAGTGATGTGGTCCACTGACAACAAAACTCAGGGCAAGGAACTGACAGACTGTTATTAACAGGGAAATGCTCACAGCACTTTCAATACTGATGGCCTATTTTAACAGCACCACTTTAGTACTAAATACTCATTTTTCATAGTTGCTCATAACAGCTATTTTTCTCATGAACTTCAATGGGATCAATGTTTGGCACCATGTCAAAAAAGTAATGACTGCTTCTAGCTATACATGTAACTACAGAGGCAAACCCCAGGTTTTAAGCATTGATGTTTGAAGATATTCTTACTTTTACTAATTAGTGGATGAAAAGACATGAGTCACATCCCTATAACTATTCTAGACACATAATAAATTAAAGAAAAAAAGCACAGCAATTTCAGAAAATAAAGTATTTCTTCACCAATATCAGAGAAAAAATCTTAGATTTACAGTCTGTATAGGCCAATCTAATACTGATGGTAATCATTTCCTCTTGGTTGATTTAAGAATGCATGATGCAGCAGCCACAAAGAACAGATGCAGAAGGTAGATATTTAACTCTCTTGGCTCAACTATGAGATATGAGGAGAAACAGACTTTGCAGAAGACCTGGGCAATGAACTAGCAGCTCCAGCAAATTGTCTGCCTTAGCAGGAAAGCAAAGGCTTCATCACATGCATTGTTTTCTGCCCCATGGGGCAAGTCCCAGAATAAGGCAACACATGTTATAAATGGTATAAATTAAGGAAAACCTTAAAGGCTAAACTAATACACTTCACTACACAGACTGACAAAGGAATAGCATTTGGGGGGATGGTATTTTCAGAAGTGCAGTAGGCCTGTGGCCACGATTTCCTTTCTCACAGTTCAGTCAATATTGGTTTCTGTGACCATCCTGAAGATAAAGCCTTTGTGTGCAGAAGTACCTCCTTGCCAGCCTCAAGTCAAGACTTCTGCCGGCACATCTGCCACAGGACAAAGGTTTTGTCCAACTTTCTTAGCTGCATGGGCTGTTTCCCCAGCTTCAGCCATGGAGGAGTGCTGCAAAAAGCATTCACTCCACCATCATCTCACTTGGCATCACCAGCCAGGACTGGATCCAGGGCAACTCCAGCAACAAACTCTCCTGGAGTTCTGCAGTGACACTATGGGAAGAGGGGACCAATTAGGAATATAGATGAGAGACACCAGCAGGATGTTACTGGTCCCATCAGATCAATAGCCTGCATTAAGCTGAAGCCAGTAAAAATTCCTGGTGAAAAAGTGTCTTGCTGTAGTGTAATACATTCATAAACCATTAGTACTATGTAGAGAAATAATTTACCTGGATGTATCATACATAGCTATCAAATATAAGGTGTTCTGAAGTGTGTGAGGAACACCTTATATTTGGAGAGGCAAGGGTAAATCATAAACTGTAGAAAATAACCTCTTCAAGAAGTATTCACATATAATAGTCACTCCTATTTTTTTTTGAAGCAACATTTAAAGTATTTATATGAAAAAAATGCAGTTATTATAACATATTTTGAGACGTATTGGGCTATTAAAATACTTCATGCAGCTTCATGGGGAATGGTGATTCCCCATCCTTCCCCCAGATACAGCTGGGAAATAGTTCTCTCATAAGAAACACACCAAAAATAAACACCAGTGCTTCTCTTAAGACTCCTACAACACAGTTAGCACATGGCTCCACAGCTCTGACTTACCCACTGCAAAGTCAGAAACAGCAAGATTCAGAAAGAAATAGTTACTCCGATGCCTGAGGTTTCTGTCCATCATGAAAGCAAGGATCACCAGCATGTTTCCAAGGATGGTCACCAGACACAGCAGCACCATGAGGAAAGCCAGCAGCACCAACACGCCCAGGGAGAACTCGGAGCTCGGAGGCTGGGTGGGCCAAGTCTCGTTACACCTCGCAGCCACGTGCGGAATTTCGGCAGTGCTGTTGTGCATGGCGGCTGTCCAGCTCAAGTCAGTCTGGGAAGGAAGTTGTATCAGGCAAAGTTATCCAAAAGGTTGAGACAAGTCTATTAACAGGCTGGGCTGAATACTGAAACAATAAAAGAAAATATTTACAATATCAAAGAAATGGAACATGAGACTTTAAGACCTGGGCTCTCTGACATGTCTTGATCTGAATGCACCTATTGGCCTTAGAAAAGACACCTCCTAATCAGTGTCTTTCCTGGACATGGACCCTTATCTACTAATCTCAAAAAGGCTCGTCTGAAGATAACTATTTTTAAAGTCAAGCAGTTTGCATATTAGCAATGTGTAAGTTGTTTTGCACATCAAATTGTGCTGAAGCTAAAGCCACAATTCATTTTCACCTCCACAGTGGTGAACAGGTTTAAAATTGTTCCAACTCTATTTCACTTACATTAAAATGTAGATACTTTTCCACTTGCTGCTATAACACTTTTTAAATTTTACAGTTAATAACAGAGAGATCTTTCTTAGTGTTGCTGGTTACAGAGCATTTGTAATACAGTTCCATGCTGCAGAAGCATCACCAATACCTCTTCAGCTCACCCTAAACAGAAGCCCTGGGAAGAACAAACCAAATACTTGGACTTTGGAGGTCCTTATGGTGTGGGCCACCTATCCTGCATCACCCAAGTAATCCTAGATAAGATTTTGCTCCATGAAGTACCAAGCCTTTCGGCCTTTTCAGAAGTGAGAAAAGATATCCCTTCCTCATCACAACTCCATTTATTGTGGTGGGATTTGCACAACTACATGGCTGTGGCTGACACTCACTGACTGCAGCACCATGGCACACCAAGTAACCAGCATTTCAAACTGCAGCCAAAATGCCAGGTACTTGGGAAGATGTAAGGCAAGAAATGAGGAAAGAAAGGGTGGGAAAGATGTGGGGGGAGAAAGATGCATTTCTTTGCTACCCTACTGAGGAACAAAGGGAATTATGTTGTAAAGACTCATTAGAGCAAAAGGTGTAGGGTGACAGAAACAGAAGAGACCTCAGGAATGGCAAAATGTGGCAATGAGACACAGCTGCCTTAGGTGTGTGAGCACAGCTGCAGCCTGGGAAGCATAGAGGAGGTACTAGAGCTTCCTGTGCAGTCACTAAGCCACACTTGACATGGGTGACATTATGGTGAGAGCACATTGCAGAGCTCAGGTTGAGGGAGGTGATGAAGTCTTCTTTAAGAAATTCAAGAAAGCTTCTGGACCACAGGACCTGCTTTTTATGTAGGACTTTAGTGTTCATGGCATCTGCTGGAAGCGCAACACATCCAGTCCTAGCAGTGAACAAGGTTCCTGGAGGCTGTCAGGGGCAACTTTCAGACACAAGTCCTGTGTGGGCTAATGGGGGTGATGCACAGCTGAAACAGCTGCTCAGTGGTAAAGAGGGCTGTGTGGGGATGTGCTAGCAGTGCTAGACTCAGATGTAGTGATAATGAGGTAGTGAAACTCAAGATCCTAAAGGCGATGAGGAAGGAGAGTAGCAGTGGAGAGTAGATTTCTGTTTTGGAAAGTAGTAGTGGGAATCCCATGGGAGCAGATCCAAAAGACAAGGACCTCAAGGAAGCTGCAGGCCTCTAAGGACAGCAACCTCCATGCACAAGAATAATCCATCCCAGTTCTTAAGAAAACAAGCAGATGTATCATAACAGTGGCTAACCCTGGAGACTACAATGCAGAAAGGCCACATGAAGCAGTTTGAAGGAGGGAGAAAACAAAAAGGAGATAGTTAGAAATGTTGCCTGGCAACATAGGAATGATGTTAGGAAAACAAAAGCTCACCTAGAGTTGATGTTTGTAAAGGACATCAAGGACAGCATGAAGAACATCAGCCACCCCATTAACAGCAAAATGGTGAATAATAAAAAAATGGGTAGTTTGCTGGACCAGACCAGTGATCCTGTGACAGCAGGTGCAGATAAGGCTGAGGTACCCAGTGCTCCCTTAGCTTCATTCCTGACTAATTAGGTCTCCTTTCCTCCATGCTTAGTGAATGAGTTCAAGGATGAGAACTGTCACAAGTAGGTGAGAGTAAGGCAGGATTACTTGAGGGGACTTGACCCATAAAAGTCCACGGAACCTACTGTGCTATCAAGAGAACCACATACCGCCTTTGCAAGGCCACTTTCTATCCTCTTAGAATGGTCGAGATAAAGGGAAGAGTCCCAACAATTGAAGAAAGGTAAATGTTGCAATGATTTTCAAATGCTGTCACAAGGACAAAAGGTCAGATTGTCTTTAGTCTTTGGGAAAATAATGGATTGAGTCCCCTTGAAAGGTGCTTCTGAGGACCTGGGGGAGAAGACTGGGAACAGTCAGCATGTACCTACCATAGGTAAATCATGCCTAAGCAACTTGCTTGTCTTCTTTGATAAAATTACGGGATTAGTGGACAAGGGGAATGTAGTCATTCGTTTTTATAATTAGGGAATAAATCAGATATTGAGTTTTAATTATAGTTCTGTGTGGCACTCAGGGGGAAATCTATGTGGTATTTCCTTTGGAAAATAAAGGACATGGACATTAGGAGAGTCATTAGGGTTCAATGTTTGTTTCAGAAATAAACAAAAAAGATAACACAATTTCTTCCAACATGTATTTTTATTTGTTGAGTTTTTTTGTTGTTGTTTTTTTTTTTTTTAATCTGAGAGGGTCAGACTAGATAAAAACTGGTGTGGTTTGAGCTGAAGCCCACAAAGTCATATAACTACTGTCACCATGTATTTAGAAGGCCTACTGAATATCTACAAAGACAAAAGAGAATTCAAGGATATGAAATAGTGAATGGATGAGTAATTGGTTAGAGAGACCTGGGTTAGAAAACCCTTTGTCAAGAAACATCCATTTGAGTGGGGGCATAAAAACAAATTCTCAATAAGTATCTTACCATAACCCTGAAAAATGACTGATCTGTGATTTACAAAGGAGAATATTTATGATGCCACCCTGACCCTGACCATGACAGTTGTTAAAGCTGTGAGCAGAGCAACCCAGTATTTGACTTACCCTGGGAGCACTAAGCAAAGTTTTCAACAACAAATTTGTCTCATATACAGGAGTGGTATGAGAAAACAGTTTGAACACTGTGTGTGTAAAACAGACTAAAATCACTGATCTTTAGTAGCTTCACCATGCTATGTTTTTTCAAATTCACTGCAGATTGTGCTGCCTGGAAAATTCCCTAATTAGTTTTCCAGCACTGCAAAACATTGACTCAGTTTATCTAGTCAATAATTTTGTAGTTATTTTTTCCAAAATGAACATTCTTTAAGCACAAAATGCAAAGTGAATTTTTATACTAAAAGCATAGGGATAGAAAGCAGACAACCCAAATACCTTTCTATCTTGGGCTCATCTTCAGTTGCTCTGTTTAACAGATGTTTAGTACACCAGCTGTTCTAGAAATGTTTTAACTCTGTGAGTTTAGATGTTTTAAAGCATCACAGAAAAACAAACCCCACAAAATCTGTACCATCATCACAGCTCATGACAGTAAAACCAGCTGTGCTGAATGACCTCCACCTGAAGCCGCACCTCTCTTAGCAATTAGGCTCACAATCCATAACACTACCTACGTGAGGCAAGGAAGCATAGTGAGAATGAATGGTGAACAATAATCTTCCAGCAGTGTGAAAACTGGCAAGAGAAGTCTTCAGTTCCAGACCTCTGAAGAGAAAGACATTCTCCTCAAAGCCATCAACATTTGTGATATAACTAGGCTGCTTCCATGCATTGGAACCGTGTTTGCAAAGGAGTACTCTATTATGGAAACACTACTACAGCCATTTCAAATAGGATTAAAAACTATTTAAATTGACTACTGCTCTTCATTGTTCTGTGCATCAGATTTCTCTTTCCATATTTCATATATTATTATATTTACAAACAAGGAGGAAAAAAATTACACAAAAGGAGAGGAAAAAAAGGTAGCCAATGACTAACTTACCATGAAAGCCTTCTGGGCGAGTTGTAACACTCAACACAAGGTAGGAAAGTTTAGCACATGGAATGGGGTGTAATCAAGCTCCATTGCTCCTCCAAGACATCTAGTCATGTCTTTCAGCACTGGACATTCAACTTCTCTGTTAAGAGCTGCTTCAGACATCTCTGTATCAGCTTCCAGACCTGTGTAAATCTCATTCTCAAGAAGTGAATATGGCCCTTGCTCCCCAATTGAAAAAATCGAGTTTGATATTTGTTCTGTGGCAGAGAAAATCCATATAATGTCACAGTAACAGGACACAAAGAACTCTATTAGTATAAAAATCACTCTGTCAGGTCAAATTTGTTCCAGACATTTTGATGAAGTATCTTTGCACTTGCAGAGCTTTACATCAGAGAGGCTATTGTCTATTCTCACACAGCCAGCCAAAATCATCAATCCAGTATGAACTCAGCATTGTTTGCTCTGCTCATTCAACAGGAATATGATCATGTGCCCAAGCCTGGCCTACCTTTTGGGCAATCACATAGTGCACAGATCTGGCACTAAATATCATTTAAGCATGATCACTGTCAGGTGAAAAAAAGAGTACAAGTTGAAAAGACTAATAACCATTTATGTCTGTTAATTTTGATAACAGATCTCAAAATTTCATTCTCTGAAAATCATTCAGAATTACTAACTTTGTCCTGCAATGCCAGGTACAAAATACATTAAAACTTTAAAAGGACAGATATGGCAGGGTAGGCAGTCCGTTCACTTGCATATTGCTCACTGTGAGGATTATAACAAGGAGAGGGCACACTCTTGTCTTCATAATAGTTTATGAAATGAAAATATACTGCTTCTGTGAGTATTTTTATGATCTTTAAAAAATGTAGCAGTATTGCTTCTTCACTGATGGCTTTAGGTTCATAAACAGGACGTAAATTTTAATTCAACACATGCATGAGCAAGTATCTCCCTCCAGGTATAAAAAAAAAAAAAAAATATGGAGATAGCAAAAAAAAAAAAAAAAAAAAAAAAAAAAAAAAAAAATTAAACAAAGGAAAGAAAAAAAAAAAAAAAAAAAAAAAAAAAAAAAAA